ACAGTTGGAAAAAGGTAGTAATAATCCAGTTTTATATTTTAAGCACCAAGGGCAAGATGACGTGACAACACATTTAGGAAAAGATGATTTTTGTATCATCATTATGACTGATTTCCAAACTGAAATACTGGTTAAATTTGGAAATGACAAAATTTGTGTTGATAGCACCCATGGTTTGAACTTTGAACAGTTGCAGTTTTCAGCTATACACGTTACTTGTTGTTGATGAATACGGTAATGGGATTCCAGTAGCATTTTGTTTTAGCAATAAATCCGATACTGCTACATATTCATTATTTTTCAAATCTGTAAAAAAATTGGTTGGTATTATTAAATCTTATGTATTTATGTCTGACGATGAACCAGCATTTTACAATGCATGGTGCTCCTTTATGGGTCCAGTTTCAAAACAACTCTTATGTACATGGCATGTACTCAGAAATTGGAACAAAAACCTATCAAAAATACATTGTCATGAAAAAAAAGCTATAGTTTTTAAAACATTAAAATCTCTAATGTTTGAAACTGATGAAAAGGCATTTAATATTGAATTACTAAAAATATTAAATGACCTCAAAAATGATTTAGATACAATTGAATTTGGTAATTATTTTGCAACAACATATTGTTCAAGGGTTGAAAATATGTTAGTATAAACACTAACATGTATTTAGAAGCCCTCCATAAAAATATAAAATATTGTTATTTAGAAGTTAAGCAATGTAGACGACTGGATTTATCAATAAATGCACTATTGCTTCTAGTTCGAGACAAATTCTTTGAAAGGGTTATAAAAAGTCATCCAAATTACTTAAAATTATATCTAGTCATAATAAAAGTGTAAATATTTCATCAAATATGATTACTGAAACGGAACAAAATAAATGGATTGTTATTTCTGAAACTGAATCAGATGTAAAATATTTAATAGAAAAATGTAATGTAATTTGTAATAATTGTATTCTACGTTGTGATTCTTGTAATATCTGTGTCCATACATTTAAATGCTCATGCATAGATAATGTTTTGTATTTTAATATTTGTAAACATATACATACCATTGCCAAATTTAATGTTGTCATGAATGATAATAGCAATAATAGTAATGTTATACTCTTACCAGTTGTTGAAGAAAATATTAAACTTGGAAGCACTGCTGAAATATCTGAAATATTATGAACATCTTTAACTGATGAAATAAATACCAAAATGGAAATTATGATTGGTCTGCAAAATCGAGCTGGGGCTATAAATGAAGAAAAACAAAAACATATTTAAAACATTGCAATAAGATTATTGAAATACTTACAAACGAATCAAAACCTATACAAATTGAAAATATAAATACAATTAACATAAAAAAAAATATTGAAAAACAACCACGTTTCTTTACTAAAAATAAAAAAAATAACCTTGAACTTCATCAATTGTCGTCGAGTGAAGGAAATATAATAAGAAAATCCTTACTAAATAATACAAGTGTTTTAAATGTTCATTCATGTGACGATCATTCTTATAGCGCTAAAAAAAAAAAATGAATATCTTAATATATTGTTGAATTGTATCTTTTAAATGACGATCGTAAGTGAATAATGAATATTGAGTTTTTTTCGAATTTTGTATTATTAAATTTACTAACTATTTTAATTATAATTTATAATGTAAAAATATTATGTTAGTTGGACAGTTATGTTATTATAATAACATTATTTCTATAACAATATTTGTGTACTGTAATAATAATAATATCATTACACAATTGCTATCTGGGTATTAGTTCGAATTTTGAAAATATTTATTATATAATTTACCTTTTATTTACGTAAATAGGTTGTACATTTATACTGTATTCTCAATGAATTGTGTATTTTTAAATTTTAAATTACGACATTGTGTTTTTTAATAACTTAGTAACTATTTATGTGTTTAACTATTTTAATTTTTAATTATAATTAATATAATAAAATATAATATTGAAAATGACGTTATCAGTTTATCAATGTTATCACATTTTGATAACTGTAAAAAAGGGGCTAAATGTAGGCAATATTATATACGGACACAAAAAATTTTTTCCTGCGAAGATCCATTCGTGTTGTTATTGTTGTGACTGATATCTGATATGGCTGACGGAAAATCAGGACCACAACAAACGTCGCCGGTGATTATCAAGGCTCCGACCTACCAGGAACTTTTTGACCTAGCCACCAGTTCACAAGCTCTCTTAAATGTCCTGGACCAGCCACAGAAAGCTGAACCGAATAACACGCCGGTCACTTATTCGGCAACAACGCAAAACGTCCCGTTTTGTTCACACTTCCGCATGCTGCCCGATATCAATCGCTCGGTGCCGATCTTCACCGGACATGAGACGAGTATTGCAGCTGAGGATTAGCTGGGCTCAGTGGACGCCCTTGCCACAATCAACAATTGGCCAGTGCAATACCGCCTACAGTTTGTCAAGTCGAATTTGACAACTGACGCCCGAGGATAGTTTTTGACGGAAGGTTTTTGCGACTGGTCCGATTTCATGCTTAAGTTTCCCGCCACGTTCGTTCGGACTCTGCGGATGTCCGACCGTTGGAATCTAATGAATGAACGTTACCAAGCTGAGGAGGAACATATCACCCATTACTTTTACGACAAACTCCAGCTCTGTCAAGCACTGAATCTGAGTTTCACCGAGGTCCGAGAGCAGATTATTGCGGGCATCCGTTCACAAGGACTAGCGACCTACGCTATGAGCAGGACGCACACCGCCAGTTCGGAGCTGCTTGCCGATTTACGTGAATTAGAGCGCTTAAATGAAATGCGCTGGAGGCATTTTCCGATGCCACCGAAGACCGCCACCACCGCAAAACCGAGTAGAGCTGGTGCGACAAACAAACCAACATCGTCGTGGCACCGATAAAAGTACGGCGTCGTCAGAGACTCACCTGAGTGCCTCAGGTTTCGTTGTGGGACCCCGAGGTACATCCTCCTCCACAGTTCGGTGTTATAATTGTGGTGGAACGGGGCACATAGCGAGAGACTGCCCCAAACCGCGGAAGCCGTGCTCGGGATGTAAGTCCACGTCTCATTCACGCGGCCAGTGTACTGTCGCACCACGCGCGTCCATGACAACAGCTAAGACTATGTGTGCCGAATTGGTACAAGCGGTACCCAATAGTAATGCTTTTATTAAAACTGTATACTTCAACGAACACCAGACCACCTGCCTCATCGACTCGGGTTCGTCGCATGTGTTGGTGCGAGCCGGTTTGGCTGATCGCGCGGAAGTCACAATGCGCCGGACTACCCGACCAGTCTACATGGTCGGTGATGTGCATCAACTGAGTGTGGTAACTCTTGGTGAGACCACCGCGAGCATCGTGATCGATGGAGCGTACGCAGAAGACCACCCCGCCTGTGTTATCAGCGACGATTCAATACCGGTTGATGTATTAGTGGGCCGAACGTGGTTGGACCTGCCACACGTAAACTATTATAAAAGAGGTAACGAATTTGTCATCGAGGCTATCGGCGCGATACTACCGAGATCGTCGAAAGCGAGTGTTCCGATATACATACGGCGCTAGTGGATGTGGAGAAGCTTGTACCGTCGCCTTTGGTGGAGCAGGACGTCAAGATTGACCCAAACGTCCCGTTTGACGAGCGGTTGAAATTGTTAACACTGCTAAACGAGTATCGACACGTGTTTGCCAAGACCTTGGAGGAACTGGGTTGTACCGACGTGCTCCACATGGACATCGCGGAGGCGTCCGGGAGCGAGCCCATCCGTCAGCGGCCTTACCGTACCTCTCCGTCCGACCGTCGAATTATTTCTCAAATCCTGGATGAATGGAGGGCCGCCGGAATAATCATGGACTCCACATCCCCGTACGCCAGTCCGGTACTGCTGGTAAGCAAAGGAAGCGGTTGTGTATCGATTTCTGGTGACTGAACCAACAGACTGTGGATCAACCGTACCCAATGCCGGAAATTGACGAGCTGCTCAGCCACCTCGCAGAGGGGAAACTGTTTTCCACCATGGACCTCTCGAATGGGTTTTTGCAGATTCCACTTAGTGAAGAAGCGAAAAAGAAGACTGCTTTTGTTACCGAGGACCATACAGCGAAGTTTGAGCGCATGCCTTTTGGTCTGAAAGGAGCACCGGGCATGTTTCAAAAGACCATGGATCTCGTCTTTAAGGAGCTAAAGGACGCATATATATATATATATATGGATGATATTATTGTTCCGTCGCAGGACTGGGAACACATGCTCCACGTGATGCAACTTGTTTTTGAATCCCTACGTTCTGCGAATCTCACACTCAAGCCTGCCAAATGTACTTTTGGTGCCAGACAGTTGGATTTTCTGGTTTTACGATATCGAGCGGTGAGATCCGACCGGGGCCAAAGGTAAACGTTATCAGAAGTTTTCCGCCGCCTCGAGACGCCCATGAAGTGCGCAGGTTCCTAGGCTTGGCTGGCTACTTCCGGAGGTTTATCATTAATTATTTATTATTAATTATGCCAAGATAGCCGCTCCGCTGACTCTGCTCACCGGGAAGGACACACCTTTCAGTTGGGCCGAAATACAATAGAATTCTTTTGATGAGCTTAAAGAGCTGTTGTGCTGGGAGCCGGTAGTCCGTATGTTCGACCCGAAAGCCCCCGTCACACAGGTGCATACTGATGCGAGCTCGGTGGCACTGTCCGGTCGCTGATTTATCTGAATTTACATAAGACTGTAAATCCGCAGATAGCTCGTTGGTTCGAGACTTTACAACAATACGATTTTGACATCAAATTCCGGCCAGGTACGCGAATGGCTCATGTGGACGCGCTGAGTCGCGTTGAGCCGATACAGGCGTTCCTGATATCTCTATCGACGCCGAGCTTATCGAACGACAACGTATTTGTCGCCATGTCAGCGACCGATCGGGTCCGCTTTATGCAGCAGGCGGATAGCGCCTCCAAAGGGCTGATCGAGTTGGTTGAATTTTTAAATGCATCTAAATTAGATAAAATTCCCATCATAGGACAGTCATATGATGGAGCAAATGTCATGTCAGGTCACATAGGAGGTGTTCAAGCAAAATTGAAAATAGTTCACCCTCCAGCCAAATGTGCAGTATATGTACATTGTATGGCGCATAAGATTAATTTAGTAGTTATTGATATGTGCAAGCACTTAAAGGTAAAATTCATAATTAATATTTTATTATACCTATTATTCTGATTTGTAATTATATATATTTTTTTAAGGATGCTAGAAACTTATTTAACGCTTTGGAGGCACTCTATGTTCATTTCTCTCATCCAACAAGAAACGTGAAGCTTACTGATTTACAACTTAAATTGAATATGAAAAAGACAACACTTTCTCAGTTAAGTGACACTCGTTGGATTTGCCGCTTTAAAAGCTGTGACGCAGTGATAAAAAATTTTAATGCCATAGCTCAAGTTTTAAATGATGAAATTGATGATCAACAAAGTAAATGTGTTGCCCAAGCAATTGGTATGTTATGAAAAATATTAAATAACCATTGGTTTCATATAATGCAACTGATTTTATTGTGCTTTTTATTTTAGGTATTGTTTCTACAATATCAAATTTTAAATTTGTAGCATATTTATTCATTCTGCATGATATTCTAAAAGTTGTTAATATATTAAGTATTCAACTTCAGTCAAAATCAGCAACACTTGGAAATTCTGCAAATTTGATAAAAGGAGTAATTGATACATTAGAAAGTTATCGTTCTTCTATTCACTACAGTGAACTGTGGGAAAAAATGGTTGTATTTTCAAAAGACAATGAAATTGAAATTAATGATCCTTTTCAAGGTACCTAGAGTAAATTTTTACATTATATGATACTGTTAATTAATTAAATATTTTAAATTCAATATGATAATATATTTTTTTTTATATTGAGCTTAGGTGGCTCTAAAAGGCAGAGAAGGGAGTCCACTAATCTAAAAAATTATGTTGTTATGTCATCAACTTCAGCTGAAAATAATCACCAAAGTGATAATACAAGTACCACTACATTAGAACCAAAAGAATATTGGAAGATTCATGCTTTTTATCCAGTAATAGATACAATAATATGTCAAATGAAAGAGAGATTTTCTGAAGAGAGCATTCAAATTGCGACTTGTGTAGATAACTTGTTAAAATTAGACTTTAAGGGATCATCATTACTTATAAATCAATATAAGGTTTTTTTTTTTTATATATATAATTTATGTTTATCAAGTACCTATTTCATTTAAAAACTGTATAATTGTATTTTACTTTACAGAATTTGTTTGAAGTCATCCCTAATGATTTGCAATGTGAGATGACTGTTTTGAAAAATATGATTAAAGGAGTTCCTAGCTATTTAACCATAAAAGAAAAATTATCTAAAGATACTTTTCCAAATCTTTTTAAAATGATCCAAGTAGCTATCACTCTTCCAGTCAGTTCGGCTACTTGCGAACGGTCATTTTCGGCAATGAGAAGAATAAATAATTATCTTAGGTCTACGATGTCACAAGAACGGTTCTCAAAATTGGCAATACTTAATATTGAGAGAGATATAATTGTTGACACCGAAATTATTTTAAATACATTTGCTAATAAAAATAGAAAAATAAGATTATAAAATGTTAAAAACTAATTAAATCTGTTACCTATACTTAAAAGTTAAAAGTGAATTATTGTTTTATTTTTTATTTTTTAAATTTTACTTGCCATCCAATGAGCACATTTTTATAGAGGGTTAGGTTTAAGGGTAGAAAAAAGCTTCTGAGAGGCAGAGATTGAAAAATTTATGTGAGGGGCTGAAGCCCCCCCAATATTTTTACTCTAATTGCGCCTATGATAAGGATATGTAACATATCAATTCAATTGTACCTATACATAAACTATAATAATAATTATTCAGGGACTAGACAAGCCCGTACAATCGTACGTTATTCTATCGTTAAAACAGTTTAAACGTGCAGTAAAAACTAAAAACAATAAAGTCATGGAGATACCAGTATGAAATATGAATGTCGGCATGCCGCCCGTCGACAGCTCATAACAACACGATAACAATAATCAGTAATCACAATTCCTAAATGGGTCTCCACTTCGTGTTCTATAAATAGATTTTAGGAATATCATTGCTACAATGCCACCACCCGTCAATCAACAAGCCCGATAATAACAATTGTCAATTAATAATTGTTTGACATTATATATTTTAATATTATTTAATTCCATGATGCATCTTATCATTAGCATTTAACCATATTGTTTTAATTTATTTTATTTTCTGTACTTTCCCTGTTTCCTAAACTCACAACCACACGTCCACACTACTGTTTATTGAGTATTTATTGTTATTACTTTGTTGTACTGTGTTGCACTTTGTTTTTTTTTTTTTTACTTTGCTTTCACACGGTATACGTAGCTCATTTTTTTCTTACTTTTATTCGTTTAATTCAATCAACCAATAATATTTAAAATGTCGAATGAAGCATGTAACCTATGTAAAAGAAAAAGAGAAAACTTAAACATGACCAATTGGACTCGACATATAATGTCTTGTAAAAAAAAGAGACTTTCATCTGGTCAAAGTATAAAGTCTTTTTTCAAACAGAAATCTTCTGCATCTACTGATATAGCTATTGGTAAGTTTTAACTATTGTAACTTGTAAGCGTATGCCTATGTACTGTAGTATTAAACTCAGAATTTATTAACTTTTAAAATTAATTTTTATCACGGTGGAACAAGAAATGTCAAATATCAATTAAAATTCTATCGCATCACAAAATGAAACTTAAACCATTAACTCTTGTTAAACTAATATAATAATATCCATATGAAAATCATATTGAAACAACTGAGTACTGACATTGAATAGACCTATTTAATTTATAGAAAAAATATATCTCATACTAAGTATACATAAAATTTAGGATTAAATGACGAGATTCAATCCGAGAACGCTGATGTCTTAGAAACTGAAAATGATATACTGTCAAATTCTCATAGTGCTACACATGATTTACCTAAACTAGAAGGTATGTATTATGTATATTGTATAATACTTAATGCTTTCATTATTATTTTATTATTTTTGTATATTTATAAAAATATTATTTTAGTATTATTGAGAACAATCAAAATAGTTTAACATAATTGTGTTTAAATATTGTGAATTAATGGAGGAATTAATTTTAATTTACTGTTTAAATGTGTATAAAATGTATACTCGTGTTATAAAATTAAATTTAAATATATTATGACTATCTTATTCACAGTTACTTAACTTTTGTTAAACTAATTAGTATCCATATGAAAATTATGTTGTAACACCTAACATGTAGGTACCTATTATATCTATAATATTTTTTGAAGAATTTATAAGAAAAATATACTTCATATTATGTATATTATATTTAGGATTAAATGAGATTCAAACTGAGAACACTGATGTTTTAGAAACTGAATATGATGTGCTGTCAAGTTCTCATAGTGCTACACATGATTTATCTAAACCAGAAGGTATGATAATAGTTGTATTATTTATATTGATACAAAAATTGTTAATTAATTTTTGTATATTTACACAAATATTTTTTTAGTATTTGAAAATGATCCAGCATCCATTCCATTAGTGATATCAGATGAATTGTTGCATTATTATATGTCAATTGGTCCATGTCAGCCAAATGCTCATGATTTATTAAATAATACATTTCCCAAGACATATGAAAAAAGTGGTCATATAAGGTCATTTAATGAATGCTATTATTATAAAAAAAACAACGATGGACAATGTATACGGAGGTCTTGGTTATGATACTCGCCATCTCTAGATCGAATATTTTGTTCAACTTGTAAACTTTTTGGTTTACCAGATACCAAGAAAATGTTTTTAGCAAAATGTGGATCTAATGATTTTAAAAATATTACACGGACTTTATCAAACCACGAATGCTCACCAGAACATATGCAAAGTGTGATAGCACATGGTTTGTACATGAGAAATGATCGAATTGATCTGAAACTCATTGAAAGTGCCAATTGCCAGGTAGCTGATAACCGAGAACTTTTAAGTCAAATTATTGATGCTCTTATTTACATTGGAAGACAAAATATAGCTTTGAGGGGCCATCATGAGGGCATTGATTCAAATAATAGAGGCAATTTTTTGGAATTAGTTAAACTTTTATCAAACAATCATGGTCCTTTGAAACATCATTTAGAACAAATTGAGAGTAAAAAAAAAAATCGACTGACATTTTTATCTAATGTTACCCAAAATCACTTATTAAATATTATAGCAGAAGTAATTAGATCTAAAATATTGAATGAAGTAAAAAAATCTGGGCAGTTTGCTGTAATAATTGATACTACAACCAACGTTAGCAATTTGGAACAATTTACATTTATTCTTAGGTATGTAAATGAAGAAGGTCTTGTTCAAGAACGACTGGTTTCATTGGTGACAGCATCAGATGCAACTGGACTGGGTATGTTTGAAGTATTTTGTAAAATAACTAACAAATATAATATTGAGTGGAAGACACAATTGATAGCTCAAGCATATGATGGCGCTGCATCTATGCAGGGACAATATTCTGGTTTAAAAACCAGGATACAACATGAAAATCCACGAGCTATATATATTTGGTGTTGTGCGCATTTATTTAATTTAGTAGTGGTTGATAAGTGTGATTGTTGTATTGTCTCCAAACGTTTTTTCGGTGATGTTGGAAGTTTAGTTGAATTTATGAGGGCAAGAAAGAGAACAGCTATTTTTGTAAAATTGCAAGAACAGTTATATCCTAACGAGCGTCTACGTCGAATGAAGCGGTTCTCGACAACACGATGGACCTCTCATGATAGGGTATTGATTGTTATAAATGAAAAATATTCTGCATTATTGGAAACACTGGAAGAAATTTCTGATGCGAATAATTCTGACCGCGAAACTGCTTCAACTGCTGAGAATCTAATTAGAAAAATAATATCATTTCAATTTGTTTTGATGATGTTATTTTTTAGAAAAATATTTGCCATTACTACTGAAGTGTCTAAATATCTACAATCAAGGGAAATTGATTTTGTACAGGCAATTAATTTGATTGATGTTGCGAAAAAGCGGTTAGTAGAGGTGAGATCAGAACAAGGCTGTAAAGATTTAGTTGACCAAACAAAATTGTTGTTTTCAATGGAAAATAATCTTACGGAAAGGGATTTTTCTCAGGTAAGACTGAGGAGAAAAAAAATTATGCCTGGAGAACAAGCAAGAGATGAGCTTTTATCTAACCAGGAAGATAATTTTCGAACTGATATTTTTTATAGGATTTTGGATACAATTATTTCATCAATTGAAAATAGATTTTCTGAGTCTCGAAATATGCTTAAAGATTTTACTTTACTTTCACCTGAACGTTTAAAATGTATTAAAAATGAAAATGATTTACCCAATGATGCTTTTAAATCCATTTCAAACTGGATTTCAATTGACCTCACTCAACTTAAAACTGAATATGTTACGTTTGGTAAAAGTTTAGATAAATTGCTGAATGGTATGAATATAAATATGCAGTATCAAAACCATGACAAACAGACAAGTGATTTTGATTCAGAGAATGATAGTGAAATAAGTGAAAATGATGTTGAAACTTCAGAAAAAAAAATAACATGCCTGCAAATTCTTAAAATATTATCTAGCTATGACCTTCAACACGCTTTTCCTAACTTATTGATTGCTTATTGATGTTAAGTATGGAAGGAGATATACCAATAAACCAACAAGAAGTAATTGATAAGTTTGCTCAAACATCAACTTTGTTGAAAAAAAAT